CCCCCCCCCGCTTACTTTATTTTATTTTAGCTTTCATTCAATCTGTCGCTGGCCCTTCAGGTCATCCAAAACTGGCCTCTTCCTGGGACGTTGGCTTCACCGGATAAAGTTTTGCCTATAAGAGTTCATCTGATTCAGCATCTTAACTCGGCTTTTCTTGCCTCCACCCTCCACCCTTTTGTAATAAAACAACATAAATATAAGCTTCTCGGTTTGAGTGACCTGGTTTCTGCTGTGGCTTCGCTTTTTCCCATTCTTCTTTTAAAAAGAAAAAAAAAGGAGACACGCACGTTTTCAGACCGCGTCAATATTTCGTGGTTTTGACCTCCAAATCTAAAAAGCCTAAAGCCCGCTTATTCCTCCTCCCGCCCCTCGGATCCAATTCTTGGCGCTCTGCACCGAGAAAGTAAGCCCCCCAAAAATAGCCTCTCTTCTTATTTCCCCACCGCGTGGCAATTCGGGGCGTGTATAGTTCGGTTCCCAACCCACTTCTCTTGACTTTCTCTTCCTTATTCTACCGTTTTTTGTTTTTTGTTTTAAATTTTGGTTCCGTGGGTCTGGGTGAAGGGAGCCCAGCGTTTAGACTTCAGGTGGGAGGCGGAAAGAGAAATGCGATTTCCCACGATGCCGGGAGAGGAAAGAGCGTTCTACAAACCCAGGGCCAAGGGGATTTGGGGCTGGCGTTGCCACACCAACAGCCCCTTGCAATCCCGGCATGTGAAAATGGGGTGGTGGTGGAGGCGGGGGGGGGGGCATCCAGGTGAAGGCGGGCAACAGGCTCTGCTGAAAAGTCCTCTCAGCTGGGAATGGAGAATTCAAGCCAGGGCTGATGTTTCTGTCGACCACCCTGAAGAGGGCGGAAAGGGGGGGGGCTGCCTCTTTCGTTTGGCTAGGACCTTAAGCCCATTTACGGGGAAGGAAGGCCCCCTTGGAGTCAATGACATCCATTTGCAAGAGAAGAACTGAACCTCGCCTTAGCGCGTGCCTCGAGATACCTTCTGCCTCCAGAGGCAACAGACCTGCTGTTCCCAGCCGCCCTATCAGAACGGAAATAGATGCCCATTTCAACCAGGCCAGGTCACTTTCTTACGGTCTCCAGAGTTTCTCTCCAGTCACAAAGCCTGGTCTTCTTTGGATTTAAGGAAATCCGCCTCCTTTGGCAAGGAGCGGCGCGAAGGTCTCTTGTTTTGCTTCCTTGAAAAACAAATTCCACCCCGATTTTTGAGAGAAATGGAAAAGGGTTTTTAATAATAATAATAATAATAATAATAATAATAATAATAATAATAATAATAATAATAATAATAATAATAATAATAATAATAATAATAATAAAAAAAAAAACCTTAGGAAGGGAAATGGGGGAGGGGGCTTAGCTCCACTTCCGAATGCATAACGTACGAATGGCTTAAAAAGGAATCCTTAGCAGATTTTGCCAGAGTTATATTTGCAGAGTTTCAGATTGTGAACTCATATACTGTATTTTGAGGGATTCGCTTTAATAGCGCACAAAAATCTGTTTGCTTCCGGAGAGGAGGAGGGTGAGGGGCAGTCCGTGCGTTTAAAGACTTCTGAAGTTTTGAATCGCTTGGTGGGGCGGGAAGACCAAACAACACCCCCTTCCCCCTTCCTCGGATTTGATGGGGGGGAGGGTGGCCACCTCCAGAGGAAAGTCTTTTATGTGCAGGATCAGTCACCCTCTGTAACTCACACTTGCTTGCCCGCCAAAACTTTCTCAGATCTTGCTGGAGAGAGCAAATGTGCCAAATCCGGTGGCTTCAAACTTTGAAAGGCTGATTTATAGAG